TCGATGAACCGTACATTTCCTATATAAATATTTTATGCTATGTAAACTATGCCTCAAAGTTGTTTTAAAAAAAAATGTGGTAGAAGATGAACCTAGTCAGCTCTTTCTAAACCCAGTTCACATCTAAAACTTCCTAGTCCAAATACATCAAAAATCAAAGCATTCTCCTCCAGTCTGGTCACAAAACCTGAAGGCAAAGTCTTAGTTTAGCCACAGCACCTGCTCCCTGCCCTACATAGCACAACAGAGCCTTTACATACCTGGTTGGATGTTTATGCAGAATCATTTCCCCAGATTTGATCAGAACAGAGTCATGAAATCCGTAATACTTGTTAAAAGTTTAATGTTTATTTATATTGGAGAGAGACAGAGAGACAGAGCATGAGTGGGGGAGGGGCAGAGACAGGGAGACACAGAATCCAAAGCAGGCTCCAGGCTCCGAGCTGTCAGCACAGAGCCCGACGTGGGCCTTGAACTCACAGACTGCGAGATCATGACCTGAGCCGAAGTCGGATGCTCACCCAAGTGAGCCACTCAGGTGCCCTCATAGTATTTTTAAATGTCCCCCCATCAAAGGAGCATTCTCAAGAGCCCCCAGTAGCAAACCTCCTACAAAGACCTGTTTATCACCATCAGCCCCAGCAAATACTAGAGTGTACTAAGTGCTTACTGTTCTAAACTTTACATGGATGAAATCTCTAAAACAACCCTCTGAGGTCTCCATAATTCTTGTCACTCCCACTTTACAGATGAAAACACTGAGACCCAGAGAGGTAAGATAATTTTCCCAAAGTCGAACGTGAGTTGTGATGGAGCCTGAGCTCGAACCAAGCTCTTCCCCTCTGGGACCCACGCTCCTACCAACCAATCTCTGGTGTTTCACCAAGAAGGGAACGTTCAGCTGGCAGCAAAGCGCGTGAAGTCAGACTATGGTTTCCAGCAATGTGCCGCACAGGCCGCGTTTCCTAACCACGGCAAGGCTTTTCTCAGCATCAGGATGCGGTAACTTTCTTGAGAGAGAGAAAACAGCACTGGGGCCACAAGATTCCCTCAGCAAATAAAGTGCATGTCTTGGAAACATACCGAGTAACCCCAGCATTAATTAAACTGTCTCCTGGGGCTCATGGCATCTATGTTTTGGGGTTTTGTTTTCAAGTTTTTTTTTTTTTTTTTGGGGGGGGGGGGGGTAGAGAAAAGGAGAGACAGAATCCCAAGCAGGCTCCTTGCCATCCAGAGCCTGGTGCAGGGCTTGAACTCCTGAATCCTGAGATGTTGACCTGAGCAGAAATCAAGAGTCTGACACTCAGCTGACTGTGCCACCTTGGTGCCCGTTTTGGGGTTTAACCATAAAATCACCAACCATTTGGGGCGCCTGGCTGGCTCAGTCGGTTAAGCGTCTGACTTCGGCTCAGGTCACGATCTCATGGTTCGTGGGTTCAAAGCCCGCATCAGGCTCTGTGCTGACAGCTCAGAGCCTGGAGCCTGCTTCACATTCTGTGTCTCCCTCTCTCTGCCCCTCCCCCACTCACACACTTGCACTATCAATGAATAGAATTTTTAAAAAAATTTTAATAAATAGGGGCACCTGGGTGGCTCAGTTGGCTGAGCGATGGGACTCTTGATTTCGGCTGGGGTCACAATCTCACAGTTGGTGAGTTTGAGCCCCGCATGGGACCCTGCTTGGAATTCTCTCTCTCTCTCTGCCCCTCCCCTGCTTGCTCTCCCTTTCTCTGTCTCTCAAAATAAATAAACATTAAAAAAAAAAGTAAAAAAAAATAAAACAGGGCTATTTATGTCAAGTACCCAAGCAGAGAGCCTGACCATTCACATACAAGTCCTGACTTCTGATGTTCCACTTCAGATTTTTCACTATTACAATGGTACAAAATTAATATGCATTTCATATGAACTGTAGTTTGAATTGTAATCTCTTCCGGGAGGTGCAATCCTCTGCTGTGATGCTGGCCAGCAACGAGCCCCAGCCGGCCAGGAAATCAGGAGGGTAAATACTGATACACTGACAACCATCCCACACCCATACAGCCACTCCACTCCGTCTTCCACTTTCAGTCCAGTAGTCAGTACATTACATAAGATAATCAACACTTTACTATCAAATAGGCTATTTATGCTACATGATTTTGCCCAACTGTAGGCCAATGTAAATGTTCTGAGTATGTTTAAGGCAGGCTAAGCGATGCTACGATGTTGAGTAGGTTAGGTGTAGTAAATGCATTTTCACCTTAAGGTATTTTCAACTTACAATAGGTTTATTGGGATGTAATCCCTTGGAAAGTAAAGAAACATCTATATTAGTTTCTTCTTTAACCCCTCGCCCCCATTATATTTCGGGGAGACTCTCCATCACTTTGCTTCCAAAAGTGTTTCCAAAACCCCAGCTTCCCACCTTGAGGTAGCTACTCCTAAAACTGCAAATTAAACACAGGAACATATATATACACAATTGCCTGGCTCTCCTGATACATGCTTTGAATATGAATCTGTGTCACTGTTTAGGAAATAAATTAGTTCCAAAGTGGCAGATTCTAGAAGGGGGTGTGATCTTCCATTCAAATACCAAACAGAAAAATTTTTAACTGTCTGCACCGCTCCGTCAGACCCACGTTAACAGTGCATATTTCTATTATGGTTAATTATCACTTTTAAAGAATTATCTACATTTTCCTCTCATGCACTGCATCAGGAGTTCTCAACTATGACAGCATGTTAAAATCATCTGGAAGCTTAAAAAAAAAAAAAAAAA